GAAATAGCCTAAGCTACTCTATCCCTTTGAGATGTATTTATTGCTTATCTCAATAAACATACTTGAACTTGAACTTGGCTAATTTGTCGATTCTTGGCCTATCACCATCCCCCCAAACACAGCACATTACTCAGCCTCCACAGGTGGTGGTGATGGTGTGACGACTGGTCAAGATTAGGACACTCCAGAGGTGGCACGGGCCTGAGTAGCCCGTAAGGGTTGTGTGCTTACCTATTTGTGCCTGCAGGATCGAGCATTGACTCTTGGATCCTGTCTTAAGAGTGTGAGTGAGTGAGTGAGTGTGTGTGTGTACACACACGTTTGCACTTGTTCGCTGACCCAGATACGACTTTCTGAATGTCGCCGGAATCAACCTATTTGAGGACCAATTGACTTAAATCTGTGCCTAAACTGCCACATTATGTCCAGGCCGGGATTCATCAACCGCAGTTAGGTATCAACTTACGAAACCTGTACATCTTTGAACTATCATAGCTGCTTTGTTTATATTTATTAAACAGTTTATGAGCTCTGAGGCACTACGGGGGGGGGGGAGGGGGTTATAAAAATAATATAACCTTGGGTTGTGACCTTTCAAAAGCTCATAATTTACTTAATAAATGTAAACAAAGCCGCCATGACTGTTGAAAGATGTACAGGTTTCGTAAGTGGTGGAATAAATATTAGATGAATCCCGGCCGAGGTGAGCCCGTCGTACTCACCTGGCACAGGAGATGAGCTGAAGGAAGACCCACTAAGACCCTGAACTTAGTGGGTGTCCCCCCCATTAAAGACGTCGTCTGGGAAGGTTATGGCTAAGGATGTATTTACAACTAGAGTCCCGAGGCTACACAAACACCACGCTGACTCCTCAACTCAAAGCGGCAGCTAATGGCCTTCATGAGAACTAGGAAATTGTTGTCAAAAGAGGTGACAAGTCGCTAATATGTCCTAACAAAAAGTTAAGTTAAGAGCCGCCATATATATTGTATATTATTATTGTATATTGTATAACTATATTGATAAAATAAGCCTCGTCCTCTATTATTACACCGAGTTTCAGAACTATCATGATACAGTAGCTAATATAGAGTTATCTTGAGTTGATTTCGGAGCTTTAGTGTCCCCGCGGCCCGGTCCTTGACCAGGCCTCCACCCCCAGGAAGCAGCCCGTGACAGCTGACTAACACCCAAGTAGCTATTTGCTGCTAGGTAACAGGGGCATAGGGTGAAAGAAACTCTGCCCATTGTTTCTCGCCGGCGCCTGGGATCGAACCCAGGACCACAGGATCACAAGTCCAGCGTGCTGTCCGCTCGGCCGACCGGCTCCCTACATGTAGAGTACATTAGTTCCCTATTAGTTCCATTAGTTCCTTATTAGTTCCCCATTAGTTCCATTAGTACTATTACATTAGTACATTAGTTCCGGCTCCCTAATGTAGAGTACATTAGTTTTTTAACGCAAACGAAAGTAAACCAATTGGTTGAAACTTAATGCTAAGAGGTTCGGACTTCACCTGCCGAAATCTCTTGGAGAGTAGAACCTGGATAGGACTGGCAAGACCCACAAACCCGGAAACAAGTTTAGTCCTCTGTAATGCTGTTGCGCTACCGCTCACAGGATGAGTATGGGGTGCACAATAAACTAGCCGCCTTCGGCAGCAACAATAAAAAATCTGATAATCAACATTGAGCACGATTCCCAAACCCACGTACAGGCTGGCTATGCGTCGCCATTCGTAACACGTGCTTTCAGCCCGAAGTCTCCCGAGGCATTGGTACACTTTTCGCCAGGGTCACAGGCATCGGGTACGAGGTTTCTGGATGTTGAGTGGCTGCTCACCAAGGTGACCTCGGATGAGACCATTGGAATGACGATGGACAAAGTTTGTTGGGACCCAGTTTGCACTCCTCTTGACATTCCAGAGCGCATACTTGGCCAACTGCTTGAAGCATGTATCAAAGCGGCGCATTCCTGAGCCATGATGGTCTCTTCGATAAACAAGTAGATCGTGTTCCCATGGTTATCTTATCTTGAGGTTATCTTGAGATGATTTCGGGGCTTTAGTGTCCCCGCGGCCCGGTCCTCGACCAGGCCTCCACCCCCAGGAAGCAGCCCGTGACAGCTGACTAAAACCCAGGTACCTATTTTACTGCTAGGTAACAGGGGCATAGGGTGAAAGAAACTCTGCCCATTGTTTCTCGCCGGCGCCTGGGATCGAACCCGGGACCACAGGATCACAAGTACAGTGTGCTGTCCGCTCGGCCGACCCCCCCCCCCCTTGGTATCAACCCCCCCCTCTCCCTCTTGGTATTTTTGCTGCAAATTATTTTATGTGGTACTATAGAGGAGAAAGTTCCAGCTGACATGGGGTGCATAATAAAGAAAGAAATTGAATTGACGTGGACCTTTAACCCTGGCATCTACTGCAGGTTAACCTGGTTGATACCTGGTTGATGGGGTTCTGGGAGTTGCTTTACTCCCCAAGCCTGGCCCGAGGCCAGGCTTGACTTGTGAGAGATTGGTCCACTAGGCTGTTGCTTGGAGCCCACCACAGCCCGGTTGGTCCAGCACTCCTTGGAGAAAATTATCTGGTTTTCTCTTGAAGATGTCCACGGTTGTTCCGGCAATATTTCTTATATTATATGCGAGGTCATATCCTCGCATGTAACAGTTGTGGAAACGAATGGGAGTTTCAACACTTTAGTCTGTACTAAGGGAACTAATGCTAGCACCGAGTGCCCTAAATGTTAGAAGCTAAAGTGTTGATGTCTATGTCAGCTGTGCTCTTCCACGTATCTCTTACTGGAAGCAGGTTAACTAGGAACTATACTGATTTCAGCAAGTTCTTTGTCAACAACGTTTATCAGGAAGACGTCATTAGTCGGCAGGTGAACCACCAGGCTGACCATACTATGATGTATGGTCAACACCACAACATCTGCCCCCACCCATAAAACTTTCCCACAAGGCCCCTCTTTTCAGTGGCTCACAAGGCAGGAAAACAACCATGAAAGACGATTGCCACCAAGCATTGACATCAAAGATTCTTATTCATCTAGTTACCAAAATGTAAACTGACAATAAATATTGATATGTAATTCCATTTACAAGCGTTCCATCTTGTTCCATCTACAAGACAAATAGAAAACTATTAACTAAAACCACACCTACTGCACCGGCTGACCAATGAGAATGCTGGCAAGATTACCTAGTCTCTTTAACAAGGCAAACTACCAAGTCAGGGCCGGGCTTGGGGAGTAGAAGAACTCCCAGAACCCCATCAAGGTACTATCCAGGTACAGGTACCTCGCCTTCTCTCTTCACACCTGTATGGAATATATACTGCTGTCTCTGCCCATTTGTATTCACTTTCTCCCCTGCTTCTGAGGATGCAACAGAGTACTTTAGCGAAATGCGGTCTTTATCGCCACGCTTCAGGTCCGTTAAATGTAAAATGAGTTTTTACAGAGTTCATTATAAAATTCCTTTTAGAAGTGTGTGGTGTATACGAAGCATAGAAAAAGATTCACGCTTGTATCATTGGTCTAACACTTTTGGCCATATAAAATAACACATACAATTATATATCAATATGGTAGATATGAAGAAAAAAAACGATTCAGTTGTGTGTAAATAGCCACACGGACAAATAAAGAATTATCCCGAGCGTTTGAATATATTTTAACTTCGTCAAGGAATACAATGTGTGTACAGAATTCACGAATGTTCCACTGCTGATTCAATGTCGCCCACTTCAGTGAATATAACCTTTTGTATTAACCCTTGTGAGTATAACCCTTGTGTACTCGTACACACCAATATACAGTACCTCTGTTTAACATCAGAATATATTGCATTAAACATATTATCATTATTATTATTGGTTGATATAAGTCTATATTAGGCTACCTTTAAATTGTGTTTTAATTTATAAACCACTTATTTTTAATTTTCCCACTTTCCGCATGAATAATATAACAATGTCACATTTATCTTTGTATAATAATTTAATTTTATTTATTAAATTTACATGTATGGTATAGTTCATTGTTGCCATTTTAGTTAACAAAAAGCCATGGCACTCATAGTGTTTGAGACGAACACAAATGAACACAAAAGCAATTTTAATTTATCACATTTGCCAGGCTTGAACAAATGTTCCACAAGCCCTTCGCAACATGCACCAAGACTGCCAAGGTGGAACTCTACGCCTGGGAGGATCTTCACTAAGGCCAGGAAATGCCTCCAGCGGATCTAGATAACAAAAAAATCAGGATTTAGGGCTTTGAGACGTGATATCCTAGCCTCCTATTCGCCATCTTTCTCCGACTAGAACATGTTAGAGCTGCTGGACACATGGTTTGTATATTAAACGATGGCCGCGGGCCTCGAAAAATTACAATATAAAATTAAGAGCACGGAGAGGATTTATTTCTTGGTAACTAGCCTGTAGATATTAGTGGCCATCAGCGATGAAATGGTTCCCGTTATTTCTACATCTGTTGCTACTGCCATTATAATGACCAAACCACACATTAGAAGATGAAGAGACGACGACGTTTCGTCGGTTTGTCCTCGACCATCATCAAGTCAACTGTCGGGAGGCGATGAGTCACAATAACGTGGCTGAAGAATGTTGACCAGACCACACACTAGAAGGTGAAGGGACGACGACGTTTCGGTCCGTCCTGGACCATTCTCAAGTCGATTGTGACTTGACTTGTCCTGGACCATTCTCAAGTCAAGTCACAATCGACTTGAGAATGGTCCAGGACGGACCGAAAAGTCGTCGTCTCCATCTTTTAGCGTGTGGTTTGCTCAACATATCTCTTCATCAGCCAGGTTACTCATCGTCTACTGCCATTAGTTCTGCTTCTACTAGTAAAAACATGGATAAATATTAACGGAAACCAAACAGTAAAATGAGAGAAGCCTTAACAGTAACAGGTAAACAAGAACGCTGCCAATATAAACATAAGAGGCCGTTGTTACTTACGCCAGCGGGGGGCATTAGGGAAAGACTTGGTCACAATCATCAATAACACTTGACGCCGTGTTGGCCTCAAGCTCTATCAACCGCGGGAGAGGTTATTACGCCCTCCAACGATAGTTTACAGACCAACCAGCACGTATCGGTGTATATATATACACAGAGAGAAGAGGGGGGATACGAACACTACATACACACTGGTCCCCGGGAGGAGGGGGGAAGGATGCCCCTATCCTCCACTCAATCACTTGCTTACTGACTCACTCCAACAACATGTCCTCAGGCTAGGCTCGTTAAAGCTGTGGCCGGCGTCCAAGACGCATTCATCCATTTTAATGCATTGCGTATTAAAAATCTTCTGATATATAAATTAATATTAGTGTATATTAAAGCTATATGCATAGTTAGGCGTAGGTTAGGCTAGTTGTTTAGGTTCTGTTGGTGAGTATTTGTGTTTGAGGTGCGTGGAAGCGTTTAAAGCGTTGTGATTCGAACAGAGGTCGTCAGTGAATCACTGTTCGAGAAATGTTCAAATCACGAGGCCTGGTCAGAGATGAGGCTGCAGGGACCTTGACCCCCCGGAATCAACGCAAGGTCATCAGTTGTGAGTCGTGTATGCACAGCTTTTCCATTCATAAGCAGGGTGTTTGATCAACCCGACCTCAGTCTATCTTTATTCCGCCCAGGGTCCGACTCCAAAGACGTATCAATCAATTTTAACATGTTCATTCAAAATAGGAATTTTCGCAAATATAAATTAACATTAATATTATATAATATTTTTATATATAATACTAGTATATGTATTATTATATATAATATTATATATTAATATAATTAATAATTAATTTATATTTGAGAAAATTCTTGTTTTGAATGAACAGCATGTACAAATTTATGAATGCGTCTGTGGGGTCGACCGCTGCATGTAATGAACTCAAACCATCCTCGACTCAAGTCCATTATATCTATCGGTATCATTATATCATTCAAAACAGGAATTTTCTCAAATATAAATTAATATTATAATATATTAGCATATTGTGCATATATAGGCATAGGTTAGGTTAAGTGTTCAGGTTCTGTTGGCGATTATTTGTATTTGTATTACGTGGGTGAAGCATTTACAACGTTGTGGTTCGAACAGAATTCGTCAGTGAAGCACTTGTTCCGGAAGTGTTCGAGCGAAATCAGTTGTGAGTCGTATGTAAACCGTTTTTTATTTATAAACAGGGGGTTTGGCGGGTGCATGGAATCACTTTTGGGTCTTTGTCTGGAGGACGGGCTGAATGGACTTGAGTCGAGGACAGGTTGGTTACACACGACTCACAACTGATTTCGTTCGAACACTTCCAGAACAAGTGTTTCACTGACGCCTTTTGTTCGAACCACAACGCTGTAAAGGCTTCACCCACGTACTACAAATACAAATAATCGCCAACAACCTAAACACCTAACCTAACCTATGCTTATATATTTGCACAATATGCTAATATATTATAATATTAATTATATATTAATATAATTAATTTATATTTAAGAAAATTCCCATTTTAAATGAACAGCATGTAAAAATTTATGAATGCGTCTGTGGGGTTGACCGCTGGATGGAATGGACTTGAGTCGAGAACGGGTTGCGTCCTCGGACCATGTCCATTCCATGGACTTGGACAAAACCCACATTATGACTTAGAAAAAATAACAAAATAAGAAAATGTTGAGTTTATAAACACAATTTGCACATAAAACACTGTCGTCTTGAATCATTCATCGTCTTTTTATGTAAAAAAAATCCCCACCGTCGAAATATGACGTATTATAAATCACAGCGATTCGATAAATTGAATAAATTGAAATGATAAACTGAAATTGGTATGATTCCTGTTCGATCCAGGGTCTTCGGTTAGGTTAGGTTCAGGCAATTTAGTACATCAGTTTATTGACGTGACAACTGAACAGGAAGGGCGGTTTATATATATATATATATATATATATATATATATATATATATATATATATATATATATATATATATATATATATATATATATATATATATATATATATATATATATATATATATATATATATATATATATATATATATATATATATATATATATATATAAAGTATATACTGACAAACAAAATAAAAATTACCAAAATTCACATCCCATCACATCCCAAAATTCACATCCCATGGGGAGCCGGTCGGCCGAGCGGACAGCACGCTGGACTTATGATCCTGTGGTCCTGGGTTCGATCCCAGGCGCCGATGAGAAACAATGAGCAGAGTTTCTTTCACCCTATGCCCCTGTTACCTAGCAGTAAAATAGGTACCTGGGTGTTAGTCAGCTGTCACGGGCTGCTTCCTGGGGGTGGAGGCCTGGTCGAGGACCGGGCCGCGGGGACACTAAAAAGCCCCGAAATTATCTCAAGATAACCTCAAGATAACCCATGTGAACCGAGCTTTGGCTTTCAATGATCAAATGAACATTTGTTTCGATGAACAATGAATAAATGAACAAATCCTAAAACAGCCTAAATTTTGTCTCAAGCAAATTTATTTAATACTTTTGTTTTTGTTGTGTTTGGCATTTTTTCTAGCGTTGTTTGGCATTTTTTCTTGTGTTTGGCATTTTTCTATTTTTTTTTCATTTTTCTAGCTATTCTGGATCCATTATTGCTAGCACCAACTAAAATCCACATTGTAAAATTTTGCTTTCATATTATATCCAACAGCCTGGTTGACCAGCCCACCAACCAGGAGGCCTGGTCAGAGACCGGGCCGTGGGTACACTGATTCCCGGAACAACGACAGGTATACCAGAATTGAAAAAAAAATGGACGAGAGTTCAGAATAAAGTTTGCTAAAATCCCGCCATACATTCTTGTCTGTTATTAAACAATAAATTTATAAAACAATAAACACCGATAACACTAGGTAAACAATTACTGTTACTCCTAAGAATAGACCAATTGGCTTCTGAATAGGGTCTCATGCGTACCTAAGTTCACTTGGAAACGGGTCCTATACGTGACTAAGTTCAGCAAGAATAGGGTTCGATACGCACCGAAATTCGGTAAGAATAGGGTCTTATACGTACGCACGTTTGCTTAAAACAGAGTCCAATACGTATCTAAGTTCACTAATAAAAGGGTCTTATACGTACATAGGTTCATTAAGTACAGAGTCCTGTATGTACCTAGGTTCACTAAAAATAGCCCAATACGTACGTACCTACGTTCACTAAGAATGGGAGTCGTATCCGTACCCAAATATTCACTAAGAATAGCCCAATACGTACCTAGGTTCACTAAGAATAGTCCAATACGTACCTACGTTCACTAAGAACGGGAGTCGTATCCGTACCCAAGTTCACGAAGATATAAGATATGAAGATATAATGTAAATCTCCAAGTTATCTCCATATATATCTACACGCAGCCCACCTATATATACTGTACACAGATTGTGGTGACGAAACCACCATTAATGTATCTACTGCAATGCCGAGCTGAGCTGAAAACCCTTTGTAGTAGTAGATATATAGTAAATAGTAGATATAGATATATAGATAATAGTAGATATAGATATATAGATAATAGTATATATATATATATATATATATATATATATATATATATATATATATATATATATGTCGTACCTAGTAGCCAGAACGCACTTCTCAGCCTACTATGCAAGGCCCGATTTGCCTAATAAGCCAAGTTTTCATGAATTAATTGTTTTTCGACTTACTCACCTACCTAACCTAACCTAACCTATCTTTTTCTGCTACCTAACCTAACCTAACCTATAAAGATAGGTTAGGTTAGGTTAGGTAGGGTTGGTTAGGTTCGGTCATATATCTACGTTAATTTTAACTCCAAAAAAATAAAACTGACCTCATACATAATGAAATGGGTAGCTTTATCATTTCATAAGAAAAAAAATAGAGAAAATATATTAATTCAGGAAAACTTGGCTTATTAGGCAAATAAGGCCTTGCATAGTAGGCTGAGAAGTGCGTTCTGGCTACTAGGTACGACATATATATATATATATATATATATATATATATATATATATATATATATATATATATATATATATATATATAGTAAATAGTAGATAACTCGTGGTAATTTAAACAATGGTCTACCTCATGGGACTGGTTCCAACTGCTCACTTGAAACAACTCCCAACGAAACTCAGGTGGCATGGCAGACTATGCAAATTAGCCTAATTGAAAAGTAAAGAGGTGTAATAAGTACGCTAAGAGACAACTCTATAATTAGGGATCCAAGATTTGTCCAGCCACCTTTCTTTTACACGTAACGGGTATTACTAACACGGCTTAATGTCTGTCCAAAATAAACTTGATGAAACTCCCCCTCCTTCTCCAAAGGGTACTAAATTCACTGGGCAGTCTGCCTTCGTAAGGCAGACAGCGCGAAGCGGTGTCCGACAATCTGCTCACAGACTGGCAGACAGCGCGTAGCGGTGTCCGACAGTCTGCTCACAGACTGGCAGACAGCGCGCAGCGGTGTCCGACAGTCTGCTCACAGACCGGCAGACAGCGCGCAGCGGTGTCCGACAGTCTGCTCACAGACCGGCAGACAGCGCGTAGCGATGTCCGACAGTCTGCTCACAGACCGGCAGACTGCGCGAAGCGGTATCCGACAATCTGCTCACAGACTGGCAGACAGCGCGCAGCGGTGTCCGACAGTCTGCTCACAGACCGGCAGACAGCGCGTAGCGGTGTCCGACAGTCTGCTCACAGACCGACACAGTGCGCAGTGGTGTCCGACAATCTGCTCACAGACTGGCAGATAGCGCCCAGCGGTGTCCGTCAGTCTGCTCACAGACCGGCAGACAGCGCGTAGCGGTGTCCGACAGTCTGCCCACATACCGGCAGACAGCGCCCAGTGGTGTCCGACAGTCTGCCCACAGACCGGCAGACAGCGCCCAGCGGTGTCCGACAGTCTGCTCACAGACCGGCAGACAGCGCCCAGCGGTGTCCGACAGTCTGCCCACAGACCGGCAGACAGCGCCCAGCGGTGTCCGACAGTCTGCTCACAGACCGACACAGTGCGCAGTGGTGTCCGACAATCTGCTCACAGACCGGCAGACAGCGCCCAGCGGTGTCCGTCAGTCTGCTCTCAGACCGGCAGACAGCGCGCAGCGGTGTCCGACAGTCTGCTCACAGACCAGCAGACAGCGCGCAGTGGTGTCCGACAGTCTGCTCACAAACCGGCAGACAGCGC